TTATCATGGGCATTTTGGCAACATTGTGGGGTGTGCGTCTTTCTTACAACTTTATGCGTAAAGGTGGTTACAGTTGGAACGGTGAGGACTACAGGTGTGTCTAACGCTGTAATGTGGTTCAATCGTAAAACCAGCAAAAATCAAAAACGTGAATCCTCATAACTGTCACTCACCTAAAAATTCACTTTATTTACGCGTATTTAGATGGCCAATAATTCAGCAGAAAATGCATTGGATAGCGTTTGGAATATTTAATGTTGTTTTCATTTCATTTTATCACAACATCTTGCTGATGTTATTATCAGCCCCGGCCTACATAGTCTGGTCTATTGGCGATGGTGCACCTTTGAATATTTTGGATCTGGTGTGCTGTATATTATTTTTAGGACTTTGGGTTGGTGAATATATCGCTGACGAGCAGCAATGGTATTTTCAAACGGAAAAACGAAAAGTGATTGCCGCCAGTAGTTCTAAAACAATACCTATAATACTTGAGAGAAATTATTCATTAGGTTTTTTATGTAATGGACTATTTCGTTATTCTAGGTATGTACTAGTCTACTCTTAACGGAAATTCTTACATAATGAACACTATTTTAATTATTTATTCAAATATTTGACAAGGCACCCAAATTATTTTTGTGAAATTGGACTTTGGTGGACATTCTATATTTTTTCAATTGCTGCCGGTGGTAAAGAATGGATCTTCAATTGGTCTATAATTGGTGTCATTAATTTGACAATTTTAATGTATGCATCCACCATTTTTACCGAGAGTATCTCGAGGAAGAAATATCCAATGTATAAAGAATATCAGAAAACTACTAGTATGTTAATTCCATGGTTTTCAGGTCCTGATCTCATAAGGAAAACGACATAAGCAGATCCAAATTTATAATTTTATTCTTTCATGTATCAATATTGAAAAATATTGCTAGTTCTAATATTTTCGTATCTGAACAAAGTTTGAATAAAGCTTAGAAAAAGTATAAAGCTAACTATTGCGCAGTAATCACCAACTTTTCTAAAAAAGATGCGGTCAAGTGTGAATTAAAAGCTGTAAACAGCTAATAAAATTTATAAATATCGTGATGAGTATGTATTAAAGGTCATGTCTGAAAATTTAAAAGATTTAATAGTTACCTTCAATTTTCCATCACACGTAATGTGGCCCACATTGGTTGAGATCTTGGAAAGAATTAAAGATGTAAACTTGATACGTAAACAGTGGAAAAAATGGTTCTCAATTCCTTCCATTATGTTTAATGTTTCTGAGTTTATACAGAGTCCAAGAATTGATTAATTATAATTGGCGTATTACAGTATTATTTGCCCCAATACATAGTGTGAATACTTACGTTCAGCATCATTTTGAATTATTCTTCAATAATAAAATTTCTATTTAGAAAAATTCGCAGAAAAAGCAATACTTGATAAAGTATAATTTTGATAGACAATACTTGTTATAGAGACGTTTTATATCCTCAAATGATATCCTTAACGTGATATTTTTTATTTCGGAAATATTTGGAATCGAGTATGTGAGCTCAGTTTGTCTTGATACAGACGGAGAACTGGGTAAATCTGTATAATTTGTATTGAAATATTAACAAAAAGATCAACTAACGATAATTATAATAAAATCAAAAAAATTTTCCTTGGCTAAAAACAAAATTTGCCCACTCTCCAATAATGCATTTTAAGTTGGAAGATAACAAATGATGTCGACAAATTCTACAGTCAAACTGCCTTTGAACCCATTCGATAAAAATCGTTGTGATTCGTTGTGGAGCTTTAATAATAATGAGAGGATAATGACTGAAGGATGCTGAAATTAAGTTCAAATCGTTTTAGTTTATATGTAATACTTTTATAACTGAAAATTATCTCAAAAAGGTTGATAACTTACGACTGTTCTTTGTATCATCACCATGCCTAATGCTTGGAAATAGTACTAAATGAAATTTTTGTTCTGTTGACGATTCTTAATGAAATAACTTTAGTATTTTTAATCAAGAAAATCTGATTTAGCATTGATAAATAATTATATACTTTTAGATCTGAATTGTATCTCTATTCCTATTGGCAATTTGTTCGAAGCTAGATATGAAATAATGTAGCAATATTATTTAATAATGAAATTTTTGGTCAGAGATCGAAATTTAAAAAAGATCAAATATACCGTTCCACTCTCGTATTTTAATTCTTGAAATAACTACATCCGTCACTCTTCCTTCCTTCAACATATTAATATTTTCGAATTCATCTAATGAACTTTCAAAAGGAAGAATTCCAGTCATTTGTCCTTCAATAAATTTTTTGAATTCTTTCGCGTATTGGTACAATTTAGAAAGTTCAAACTTATAAAGCGGCGTGCAACGATATAATGTAAACGACTTGTTTATTAAAATATCTGAATGAAAAAGATTAATACACGCGTCTTTTATTAAAATATATTTGAAGTAACTTCTTACCAGCATCCAAACTATGTATTTCTCTGTCGAATTCATCTCCTGAACTATCTCCTCTTAATGTTCTATCTCTTTTTTTTTTAAGATTAGCAATTCTTGACATCTTGTAAAAAAGACGCGAATGGACTAAAATCGCCATCGACATTTTTGTATCTGTTCCCGATTTGGCAAATCCTCGTGTAACATCCACGTATCATTAATATATAATTTTAGCCAGAATTATGATAGTACTGGCTGAAATTAAGAAAACTAAATTTAAAAAATACAACTGTACGCATTATAAAAATCAATTTTTTTGATTTAAAAGTCTAACAATTACATTCATTACTATGTTACAGATATGGTTTATGTATTAGCATCTTAAGTTTTAAAGAAATTTTTTATGTTTCTTATCGTTATTGTTCTGTAAATGCGTATAAAAAAGAGAATGTAAACTTAAAAAATTTCCACTCCGATTTGGATTCGGAATCCACTTAAATCCGGAAACAACCTAAGTCGATTCCAGATCTTAAAAAAGATCATTTAAAGAGTCGAATATTAATACGCAGTGACTCTTAATATAACGTATTGTTTGACTAAAATCCGCAATATTGTGAGTTTACTAGTAATTTTTAGTAATTTCCTTATATCAAGAAGAATTTATTATGGTGATCTGAACTTTGATCCATTATACGTATCAAAGATTTACTTAGTCTCTGTTATATTGAGGATCCGTTATATTAAGAGTCACTGTGTAATCATAAATTATATGTATTTAAACAATTGTAGTATATTTCGCGAAAGTTTCAAAATTAAAATTTCAACTCAAGAATATTCTTTTATTTCAAGACAAGTTTTTAATGGAGTCACTTGCTAGATATCGTAAAACCTTTATTTCACGATCTAATTATGATCTTATTATTGTGACCTTACTAATACAAATTTGGGAGTTCTAAAAGACAGATAATGGATTTAAAATTCTTTTAGCTACCCAAGTTGGAGTGAGTTAAAGATATGTTGGATTGAAATTGGAGTGAACTAGAGCAACTTTATGTAAATCTGGAGCAGCTCCGGAGTGAGCCCAACCCAAGTTGGAGTGGGTTAAGAAATAGCTCAACCCAACCCAATCCATTAACAACCCTAGCTACGGGAGTTGAAACAAATCCAAATATTCAATTTATCATTGTTGCTAAAAATGTAATGAGTCAGAATTAATACGTGTTAGGTTCTAAATCGTGCAGTCTATTTCCATTATAACTGGCACAAAAATAATTGTAAGGATAAATACAAAAATAATTTTTCATTCCAATTTGGTGTATGGAAGTGGGTGTCATTCGCATAGTATTAATGCAAAAATAGAGAATATATATAAGACTCAAAATCCACTTAAGTGGATTCCGAATTCACAGAATTCCGAATCCACCTACAACATATATACATAATTCGATATAATTGGTATTTTTTACTGTCCTTGTATCCATGCCAGCATGATGAGAATTCGTTTTGATTGGATATTTATTTTATATGACGAAATACCAGTCAAGTGTAATGTCAAAAATTTCAGGGTAATAGTAATGATTAATTGAGGGATCTGTAAGTTGCAGCACTTATAAAATTTAATCGATCTGTTTTGTAAAAAAAAAACAGCTTCCACTTCTAAGTTAACATTTGTATCTTACAATATAATTAGTAAAATTTTGTTATTTCATACTATTTTTATACTAACTATGTTTTTTCCTTTTACGCCAAAAACTTTTGAAGTATCTTTGAAAATGATGTTTTGAGACTATCGACGAAATCAAACTCGAAATTTGATTGGCTTTATTTACATAAATTTAATGCTAAGATTCTTTTGTTACACATTTAACATTTAATTATTCTCATCTGTCTATTTTATTGAATATAGATTGAGTTGTCATAATCCATTTAAAGATCTAAGCTTTCAAGATACGTTCGAATCCAATCATTGCTTAGATTTTTTTTTTTACATATTTTAATATAGTCTCTTGATAATGGCTAATTGGTATCAAAATTTTCATTTAAAAAATGTAAAAAAACTAATTTTCACTTTATTTTTATTTTATAACTAGATATCATCTTATCATAGTTTCGAGATAAATGTCAATAATAAATAGAGTGCTTCCAATTTATAACTTCCTTTTACTTGATCTAATAATCTAAATACAAATATAAAAATAAGCAATAAATTTGTTTATTTATAAGTAAACCAAATATTACTTACTGTCGGGAACTTCAACACAATCAATAGGTTGACTTGCTAAAATATATACATATAAATATACTAAAGCTACAGTTTGAATTCAATTTAAGAAATAAATATCATTTACCTGCATCTACTATGTTGACAGATTCGGAAATTTTTACAATTGATAACATATTACTAATTTTTTACAAATATGAATAAATGTTATTACCTGGTTTAGGGAGGTTGGAAAGATTCAAAAATCGACTTGTATAAATAGCTTGTGGATGTGTCTGATATTTGAATTGTGCCGATTTGACTTGATTATAAGTTAAGAAATTTTTGTCTAGGTCTTTAATATTTTTAACTTGCTTATATAATTCACTGCCTGCAAGTTTTAAATCACAAAAAAATCGATACAATGTACCAGCTAATTCTTCAGTAGTTGGTCTGTTTCGAGGCTCTACATCTAAGCATTTATTCATCAGATCCAAAAATAATTGAGGAACTTCGCATTTAATTTTAGGTCTGTAACCTAGACAAATACGTTTTGCTAGATCTTCGTTGTGTGGAATATCATGATATGGGGGATATCCAGTAAAAACTTCAGACATAATTATTCCGAAAGAATAAATATCTGATTTTTGAGTGTATTCCTTTCCATTTGTATATAATACCTCTGGAGCAATATAGGGAAGCACACCAAAAAGTGCTTTAGAACTTGAGTCTTGTGACACCGGCTTACATAAGCCAAAATCAGTAATGTAAGAATTCAACATATTTTGATTAACTATATTTCCAGAATGAAAATCTTTATGTACTAATTTGGCTTTGTGAATTGTATTAAGCCCTCTAGTTATGTAATACGTGTATAAGTTAGCTACTTTAGAACCCCAATCTAATTCACCAAATTTACTATCTAACAATTTTCGGAGACTTCCCTGCTTTGCGTACTCCATAACCATCATGTAGTTACCATCTTTTGGGTTCTTAGTTATTCCATAAATCGCAATTGCGAATAGCCTCCATGCTTATGTTGATTTTTAAAATATTAATTAGGATAAATAAGTTTACTACACTTTAACTAGGCTAATGCGTCTTAGTGGCTTAATGCATCAAAAACGTCGTCGCTACGCTCCGGACAATAACCCAAAAAATGGGATCTTTGCTATCAAAATGACCCTCCGAGGCTATGTAGATTTTGTGAATAAAAATTAAATTTGCCAACCATCTAGTTATCCGGTTTGAATGAAAATATTTTTTAATTTGTAGATTCTGTTGAGATTTACAAAATAAAAAAAAGGTTTATTCAAATTGGATCACTAGATAGCTGGAAATTTTAATTTTTATTCACAAAATCAACATAGCCTCGGAGGGTCATTTTGATAGCAAAGATCCCAAATTATAATACTTACTTCTTCTAAAAATTCTTGTTTTATATCTTTAGAATTATCAAGACTTTTTAAACATACACTTATTTGCGAACATCTCCTCCATTTATTCTCCTCATGATAAAATCCTGTAATGTATCCATCAATCCATACTGCCTTAAAAACAGTGCCAAAGCCTCCTTTAGCAAGATACTTTATTTTTGTAAATTTGGTAAAAGGTATCCATTCAATGATGTCCTTAAACTTTACTGCATCAAGTTGTGTTTGTTGAATTAATTGATCAATGTCGTGATAGCCACTTGTCCAATTATGAAATTCTTTTTTAAATCTTAATATTAACACATAATTAATACAGTATAATAATAATCAAGAGCTACAATTGTAAAAAAAATAGCTAATATATACCGCCTATCATGGGTTAACGCACAATCAATTATTGCATCAGAATTATCCCTTTTGACATCAATTTCGTACAAAATGACATTTAATTTCGTACAAAGTGACATTTAATTTCGTACAAAATGTCATTTAAATTCGTACAAAGTGACATTCAAATCTGTACAAAATGACAATTAAAATAAGGTTGACTAAATCGCGATATCTCGTGATACAGTGGTCCAATGTAGAAGATTTTGGTATCATTCAAATCGTCTCATCGAGAGGATTTGAATGG